TATTTTTTTAGACAGTGAAGAAGGGGGGTGGGGGGGTGGGACGCATTCCGGCGGCCCCTCGGTGCGGCAGCCCCCGGCCCGGCTCCCGGCCCGGCTCCCAGCCCGGCCCTTCCCCGCCCTCCCCCAGCTCGACACTTTTTGCTGATCAGCGCCCACAAGACGCCGGGCGATTTATATTAAAAATAAAACTTAAAAAAACAAACAAACAAAAAAAACCCAATAAAATAAAAAGGGGAAAGGGGGGAGGATAGGAGGGAGGGCTGAAAGGCTTGGCGGGATGGAGGATGTGGTTTCTTTCAAACAAAGTGCATTGCGAGACTGGTTTGAAATGAGCTGGCGGCTACGGGGAGCCGCTGCGGGATCTGTCCTGCTTGGGGTCGAGGCCGCTGACCAGGCGCTGGATGTTCTGCAGTTCGCTGGTAGCCGCCTCCTTGTCGGCTCCCAGCTTTGGGGACAGGGATACCGAGCCGGAGGAGAGCGTGGACGAGCGGCTGGTGAGGTCCGAGGCGGAGTCCAGAGGCACGGCGCCGGGGCTGGAGGCCAGAGCGCTGCCTTTGGTCTCTCCGGAGGTCGCGGCCAGGGCTCCGGGCAGCGCGGTGGTGAGGAGGCTGCTGCCGTCGGGCAGGGGCACGGGCAACGGGTAGGGGCTGTAGCGGAGCCGGGGCCGCACGGCGTTGAGGAAGGGATGCCGGTGCACAGAACTGGAGGCCGCGCTGGAAGCCGCCGCCGCCGCCGCCATGTAGGTGTAGGGGTAGGGGAAGAGGCTGCCGAAGGGAGACATGGCCAAGCCCTGCGGGAGGGGGAGGAGGGAGAGAAAAAGTGTTAGCAACGCGTGCCCTCTTTCTGCCCTCCTCTCCCCTCCACAACACGAACGACAAAACCGGTCAGGTCCGCTCCGGACCCCCGGAACCTCGAAGGCTCAGCCTGGTCCCGCACCGAGGCTGCCCGGAGTGGGGCACAAGGAGCTGGGGGCTCCACCTGGGCCACTCCTCAGCGGCGAGGCTTCCCCAAAGCCTCACACCCGCCCACCCCCAACCCAATTCCTTATGCAGCGAGGGGAGGTGCCCCGCTTGCTTCGGAGGGACACTGGGAAACCTGAGGCAGAAAGAACCTGCCCACTTGGGGCCGTCGGAACGTACCTGAGAGGCCAGGACGTGCTGCTGCAGGTGGAAGGGCAGAGCGGCCGTGGATGCTCCCGAGAGTCCCTGGGCGGCCGCCGTGGCCATCACCGTGCTGTCCAGTCCCGAGCCGCCGGCAGAAGCCCCCGACACTGTGGCGAGCAGCGGACCCATGCCCGCGGCCATGCCGGAGAAAGCCCCCCCCATAGCGAACTGCCCGGGGTGCAGCAGCAGTGGATGCCCGTTTCCCAGAGGGTTGAAAAACTGCTGGCCGGCCAGAGCAGGGGGAAAACCCAGGTTCTGCAAATGTCCCTGGCTCAGGTGCGCCGTGCTGTCGGTCTGGACCGTGAGAGGGGCGAAGGGCTCTTTGCCCAGCAGCCGGTTCTCGTCTACTTTAGGGCCGTCCCGAAGGGGGCTTTTCAGTTCCTCGCCGCTCAAGCCTCCCCCCCGGCTGCTGGAGGAGATGGTGGCCGGGCTGTGCCGGGAGTCCGGAGGGGCTTTTTCCGTCCTCTCCCGGCTCCGACTCGTCGCCGAGTCGCTGGGGAAGAAGTGGCTTTTGGAGGGGCTGCCCCCCTTTTCCCGGGGGTCGTCGCTTGAGGCCGCACCGGAGCTGGCCGGCGCGGGGGTGGTGGCCGTGGTCGTGCTGATTTTGCCCGACTCGCTGGCTTCTAGCAAAGGGTCGTCTTTGCTGTCGGCATCGCTGTCACCCTCGCTGGGACAGAGATCTGCAAGACAAAGGCGGCCCGGGGCTGGGAGCCGGCTCGGAGCGTCCCTAACCCCCGCCGGGCTGCGGCAGGGTGCGGACACTCCCTGGCTGGCCGGCAATTCCAACGACAAAGCTGGGGATCGCTTCTTAAGAGAAAAATAAGTCCACCCCATCCCCGCCCCGGCTCCCAGCGGGAAGCGAGCATTGGTGTTAGCGCACCGACTCCGCACAGCCCGAGGACCCGAGGCCTGCCGTACCGCTCACCCCGGGGGCGGCGAAGGGGGGCCGCCCGCCCCTTCGGAGTTCGTCTCCTATCAACTTTTCCAAACTTTGAAGCCCTTTCGACGGTCGAAAGTTGTAGCCTTCCCCCTCCTCGGCCTCTGTCAAGCTGAGGACCCCCCCTTCTCCTCCTTTCCAAAACGCTTGCCGGATTCCTCTGCACTTCATCTCCTAATTTCAGCGCCCCAGGTGTGAAGATCTGGTTTGCTTTTCGGGTCCCCTCCCAGCTCCCCTCCTCTCGGCTCGGCAGGACTTTAAACAAACGAGTAAAGCAACAACAAAAAAGAGGTTGTTTCCTCCTCCTTCTGCGC